TGCATCTTTGCGGATTTAAAAGTTAACTGGTCTTCACGTTGCAGTGCAGAGTGATTGCCCTACACTCTTTGATCCTGTTCAAAAGCAGAATCCAAATGTGTTTGCAGAATGGTTCCCGACTTCGACCTTTACTTCTTTCTGATATTTTTATATTTGAAAAAACTCAAATATATTTTGATATTTTTAGTGTCAGAAAATTTATTTAAATTTTTGTTATATTTAAACCTGTCATGCATGAATTATGACAACCTCAATCAAGATTTTTTTCTTAAGTATTTTTATTCATCTTTAGGCATGAAAAAAAGACTACATTTTTTAAAATGTACTTTTCGAAGAGTTTTTTACATGTCCACTTAGGTGGACAACATGTGTTTTAATTTATGAAATTGACAAACGAGTGCACATCAGTGTCTAATGTAGTGGTTTATGTGCAAGTATACCATCAACACTGATACAAATACAAAAAAACAGCCTTTGAATAGCTGTCCACTGTAGTGACCACAATGAGTGTAAGGGTTAAAATGCTATTGATTGTATTTTAATGATGCAAGCCTTTAATCTCACTTCACTGTATTTTGTGACTATTTTAAGAATAATATAAAATATGTATTTCTGTTATTATTACTTTTCTATAATTTTACCAATTTAGGGGAAATAATGACAAAAGATACATGACTATTATAAAACAGACTGAAATTACTGTAAATATACCTACCAATTGACAGTCTATTAATACTTTGTGATGTTACATAGCCATAACAACACAAAATTACACAACATAGAAGTTGATTAACAAGCAAATCTATGTAAAATTACAAAAACATCTGCAAATAAATCATCTGTATTTACAGGTGCAATTTTTCACGTTATTGTACATTCGACATGTTAATTAACGTCTTTTTTGTAATTCAATGATATTTCATGTATTTAAAAATAACAGGAAATTTCTGAAAAAATATATTTTAAAAAATTCTGGTAAATTACAGATTTTGTTTACAGTGTAGAAAGCCTGTAACATGTCTGGTAAAACACGATGCACAGTAATATTTGTGTTAATGCAGTTTGAAACCTGCTAATGCGCTCTAGTGTAATAGCAAATTTCTCCAAGAGAAGGACAGAAAGCTTCCTGCCTCTGTGAACTACATAATAAACATTTTTATACTTTTAAATATAATTATTACAATTATTATAAACTGTTTGGTGCTGAATATGTAAATATATTTGATTCATTATGTGACTCTGACTCATTACCGATTACTTAGATTAAATATGTCAGAAAGGGAGGTAAGGCTTGCTAACACAGTGGTATAAAAACTATTGTAGATCAGTGAATTTATTAACTGCTAATTAGTGAAAAACTGAGGTTTGTCTCTGTCTTTCTGTCCATATTCACACATCTGAGTTTCCCATTGTGACAGTTTTTAAAGTTGTGGATAGAAGTGGGGGGCTGGCCTTATGCCATGTGTATTGTGGCTGTGAAAGTTATTCATATGAGTTTATTTATTTGGCGTGAGAGGTGGAGATGTTATTAGAATGGATGTGTGCTTTAGCTCAAACCTAAACCCCCCAAACTTGACTCTTTTTTAAAACACTAACTTTCTATGATCAGTATTTA